ACTGAAATGAAGAGTGACAAACTGCAGCCTGACGCAAAGGAAGAGATGAGAAAAACTGCCAGCAGTAGTCCCTTCAAAAAGTATAACATGACCCAGCAGTTCCACTCAAAAAATGAAAACATATGTCCACACCAAAATTTGTATGCAACATCATAATGTGGAAACAACTCGAATTGTCCATCAACTGATTAATGGATAAATGAAATGAGGTATATCCATGTAATGGAATATTCAGCTATGAAAAAGAGTGAAGTACTGGTACATGTTAAAACATGGATGAACCTTGAAACCTGCTATACACAAAAGGCCATATATTTTATGATTCTATTTATATGAAATGTCCAGAATAGGCAAATCCATAGAGATGGACAATTAGTGGTTGCCAGTGGCTGGGGGAATGGGGACATGGAGTTTCTTTTTGGGATGATGAAAATGTGCTAAAATTGGTTGTGGTGATGGTTTTATAATTTCATGAATATTCCTAAAAAATCATTGTACACTTTAGATGAGTGAATTACATAGTATATGAACTATATCTTAATAAAGCTGTTTTTAAAAGTATAGAAGATTAATTTTTAGTTTTTTTTTTTTTTTTGTAATGTGGGTGGTTATTTCTATATACCCTAGGCCTAGAGGCATCCTGCATTGAATTACAGTTAGAGTACAATCAGTAGATAGTAGTTAATGAAAGTGTTATAGGGGAAATTATTATAATGTATATCTTTCACGATCTGTCTTTTTAAAAACAACTTGTGCATTACTATTTGAAGTGGAAGGACCCTTGGTGCAAATGGATAAGTGCTTGGCTGCTAGCTGAAAGGTTGGCAGTTGGAACCCACCCAGCGGCACAGTAGAAGAGAGGCCTAGCAATCTGCTTCTGTAAAGATTACAACCAAGAGAACCCTATGGGGAAGTTCTGTTCTGTCACATGGGGTCGCTATGAGTTGAAATTGACTCGATGGCACCTAACAACAAGAGCAATCAGAAGTGGTTGACAGTAAAGTTCTAAGTGATCTTAGAATGACTCATTTTCTAAATATTGCACATAGTTGAGGTTATAGTTGTATTTATTAATGCAAACGTAGGGATTAGTTTAAAATTTGATTTATTTTTCTTTTAATAACGTCATTAAAAAGCCTAGGTAAAATAATTTTCAGAAAATATCCTTAAAGAAATTACTGTATCTGGCTTATACAGATGTTTCTATTGCTTGAAAATCTAAGAGTTAGCAATGGTTAAGTTACATAAATATGAAGTCTGCATAATCTAGGTTGGCTGCACTTTGAAAAAACATATAGTAAAATTGCATTAATTGAAATTAAGTGAGTCTACTTGGCTAACAGATGTTGATCAAGAGAAATGGGAAAGTTAGATTTCCTCTGTGGTAACAGAGGTTGCTACAGTCCCTTTATTTGAAAAGAAAATTGTTGTTAGAGTGTTCCCTCCCTTCAGGGAAGGATATGTTGAGGAGGTTTAGGTGTGGACATCTCTTGGGAGAGAATGGAGCGCACCTACCATCTGTGCTCATTTTAAAGATAGTATAGTATGGCTTATGTACACCCATTAGGGATCCCTGAAGTGGGAACATTGGTATTTGAAGGAAAATCTTAACACAGGGTGTGTTTGTGGTTTGTGAATTATTAAAGTTCAGTTCTTGCAACCTGGAATATGCAAAAGATTTACAGAAATCTTAAATCTTGGAAAATGCTGTTCCTGATGATGGCGTAAATCCATTTTATTTATAATGTGAACCATTTGGGAGGGGACTTTATAAAAATTTTGGTGGGAGGGGGAAGAAGGGTCTTCGAAAGAAAAAAAGACAATTGGTTTTTCTATGAAAAATAGCCAGAAAGTTCTTCTGGGGTCTTTGCATAGCAGCTATACTTTGTGAACAGAAAACCATCCCCATTAAGTCTTTATTTCTGTAATTCTATTTTTTAGGGTCACATAAGACTTAACTCTCCAGTGTTCAAAATTGTTATCTTGAGATAACCTTGTTGCTTTTGAGATTTGGTTAATATTTATCTTTTATGAGTTGGTATTGCCGTGAAGTCTACATTTACAGGTGTATAATGACCGCATCGATGAAGTTTTGCATTGATGGAATGCAAAGAGTTGATACCACATAGGATGAAGTCATCATAGATTGGGAAAGTTTAAATACAGAATGTATGTGATTTATTTTGGATGTAGTTACTTTATTTCAGGCATTCATTTCATACAAGAGGATATTTGTCCTAAGGTTTGATAATATAGCATGCATACAGTTTTAAATAATTGCAAAGGTCCCAGCCCTTACAGCTTATTGATTGTTCAAAAGCCTGATATTTAGCTTAGATAATACTACTCCTGTTGTTCCATTGTGTTATTTTGTCATATCAGAAGCAAAAAAAAATTTTAAACACTTTTTTTTATTCATACTCCTGTTGTTTCTCTTAAATCTAATTTTTTTCTTATGAAAGCTCAAAATCTTTGTAGACTAAAGTAGATATTATTGTTAGGTGCCGTTGAGTCAAAACCAACCCTGTGTGCAACAGAACAAAACACTGCCTGGTCTTGCACCATCCCCACAATCGTTGCTATGTTGGAACCCATTGTTGTAATCACTGTGTCAGTCCACCTCATTGAGGGTCTTCCTCTTTTTTGCTGATCCTCTACTTTACCAAGCATTATGTCCTTCTCCAGGGACTGATCCCTCCTAATAACATGTCCAAAGTATGTGAAACGAAGTCTCGCCTTCCTCACTTCTGAGGAGCATTTTGTCTGTATTTCTTCCAAGACATGTTTGTTCATTCTTGGCAGTCCATTGTATATTCAATATTCTTCATCAACACCATAATTCAAAGGCATCAATTTTTCTTTGGTCTACCTTATTCATTGTCCAGCTTTTGCATGCATATGAGGCGATTGAAAATACAGTCACTTGGATCAGGCACATCTTAGTCCTCAAAGTAACATCTTTGCTTTTCAATACTTTAAAAAGGTCTTTTTGCAGCAAATTTGCCCAGTACAATACATTGTTTGGTTTCTTGGCTGCTGCTTCTGTGGGCGTTGTTCATGGATCCAAGTAAAATGAAATTCTTGACAACTTCAGTATTTTCTTCATTTATCATCATGTTGTTGCTTGTTGGTCCAGTTGTGAAGATTTTATTTTTTATGTGAAAGTGTAAACTGTACTGAAGGCTGTAATCTTTAATCTTCGTTAGTAAGTGCCTCAGATCCTGTTTGCTTTCAGCAAGCAAGGTTGTGTCATCTGCGTAACGCAGGTTGTTAATGAGTCTTCCTCCAGTCCTGATGCTGCCTCCTTCATGTAGTCAAGCTTGGTTTATTTGCTCAGCATACAGATTGAATAAGTACGGTGAAAGGATACAGCCCTGACACATCTTTCCTGATCTTAAACCACTCAGTATCCCCAGTTCTGTTCTAACAACTGCCTCTTAGTCTGTGTACAGGTTCCTCATGAGCACAGTTAAGTGTTCTGGAGTTCTCATGCTTTGCAATATTATCCATAATTTGTTATGATCCACATAGTTGAATGTCTTTGCGTAGTCAATAAAATATATAAAGGAAATTATATGTTCAGAATTAACAGGTATGAACCACTGAGATCAGTTCTTAAAAAGTACTGTAGTAAATCTAGACCATAGTTTATAAGATTCTGAAAACCAATCCCATTGCTGTTGAGTTGCTTCCAGGTAGATCACCAGGCCTTTCTACCATGGCACTGCTGGGTGGATTCGAGTTGCAAACCTTTCGGTTAATTAAAAAAAAAAAAATCCCAGTGCCGCTGAGTCAGTTCTGATTCATAGCACCACCCATGTGATCCATGTGTTACAGAGTAGAACTGCTATATAGGGTTTTCTTGGCTGTGTTTTTTATGGAAGAAGATTTCCGGGACTTTCTTCTTCTGTTCTGCTAAGTGGGTTCGAACTGCCAAGCTTTAGGTTAGTAGTCAAGACCAAACCATTTGCATCACCTAGGGACCTGTTTACAGGATTAAATAATGATTAATTCAGTAGGTAATTTTTGCATTTGAGGAAAGAATGAAATACAGCTGTAGCGTGCATTTTCACAACTGATGTTTTCCTTCTTAGTTTTTTTTCCCTCACCACAACTAGTGTTTCCTAGGTTTTTAAATTCAGCTGTTGCTGAACCAGAGTCCTAATTGGGCCATTGTAATTTAAGGGCTCCTCAGACATTATTTATATTGCTTCTTATTCAGAGAGTTGGTGGTTGGGTCATATAGTGAGCCTGGATTTGCAAACCATTACCTTTCTTTCAGACCTGCCAAACATCAATCTTTTCCCTAAGTAGAATCTAAAAACAGGTTTCTTACATGTTTAGATGCCTTTTTTACTCAGCTTGGATCCCTGCCAGTGGATTCAACCAGGAACTGCTTGGACTTGTGAGTGATAAGGCTGAATCTGAGAAAAATTACAGGGAAATAATTAAGAGCCCTGATAACAAACTGGATGCAGATAAGGAACAAGTAGAGGAATTCTGAGTGGATCATGGGATCCATGGGAATCCTGCTGTCATGGACTACAAACAGACAACCACTCACTTGTGAGGAAGAGAAGTTTGAAATTGTTAACGTTGAAATTTCAAACGTGGGAAAGGTGACAACTAAGCAATGTGAAGTTGTGGCTGGAAAGTAGGCAAAATATCAAAAGTGACCTGAATGACCTAGGTAGCCTGTACTTACGAAACTATTCATTGTGTTCTTCACATACCACCAGATTTTAATTAACATTTGAAACTATTAAAAGGGGTTTACTGTTACGATGAGATTTTAAGTTTTAAAAAAAATCTCAATAATAAAGGTTCTCTTTATTGCTTTATATTTTGCTTGGGTAAAATACTCAGAAAACCTCTATTCTTGAACGTCTGTCTGTGCTTTGTTGTCATAACTATGATTAAATGTATGTTTGTTACGTTTGTTTTAATCAGGTGATTTTAAGTAATTCTTATGCATAATTCTCATTTCCTTTTCTAACCAGGAACCTTTTGAGGATGGCTTTGCAAACGGGGAGGAAAGTACTCCAACTAGAGATGCTGTCGTCACGTATACCGCGGAAAGTAAAGGAGTTGTGAAGTTTGGTTGGATCAAGGGTGTGTTAGTAAGTAGACTTAAATTTAGTGTTACAGTATTTTTACTTATTATAAAATCTTCCTAATATTCTCATCAGTTTTCAAGAGAACTTTTCCTTTTTGAAATGTCTTATCTAAGTGCTATAGAAAACCAAATTAGTAAGTTGTACCTTCTTTTCTTTTGGATATTTAGTAACAAAAATATATTTATTAATTTAACCAACTTATATTTGATTACCTCTAAGTTAATTTTATTACTTCTTGTGAATTCACATTGTCACTTTTCAGAAATTAAGTATGAAGCTATTAAATTGATAGGAGCACCTAAGTAAAAAACTGAGCAGGGGATAGAACTGAAATATGCCTGCTTTCTTCCTGCTACCCCATTATCTTTTGAAAAGAAGTGTCTGAAAACTAACAGGCAACAGAATAAAGGAGAAATTTTTTTCTTACGTGTTGCAGTCACATCAGTAGTCACGTTTAGGTGATTAAGGTGTAGGTTTACTTGTTCTTGTGCGTTTGAATAGGAACTAAACTGATTAGACAGGCTAAATTGACCTCTCGTTGGAACTTTGGAAAGATTTGATTGAGGTATTGTTATTGTGGAGAAGTAGGAGGGAAAATTTCAGTTCTAGTACTAATTTATTGCCTGATCAGTAATGGTGAATGTGAAGCCGCAAGTAGTAGTATGTGTCTATTCTTAGATTTTAGGTATTATAGAGGACTATGTTCTGTGTAAGAGCTCCGGTGATGCAGTGGTTAAGCCCTTGGCTGCTGGCCAAAAGGTCGGTGGTTTGAACCCACCAGCACACTCCGTGGAAGACAGATGTGGCTGTCTGCTTCCATAAAGATTAGGGCCTTGGAAACCCTATGGGGCAGTTCTCCTCTGTCCTGTAGGGTCACTATGAGTCAGAATTGACTCAACAGCAACAAGTTTAGTTAGTTTTATGTTTGAGCATTAGAAATAAAAGTAAACAGAAATGGGGAAATTTGTCTCATAAATAATTTAGATTTTTAAAAAAAGTATGAACATGTGGCATTTTGTGTTGACAAATATTATATAATTATATACTTAAATCTTTAGAAATTGTATAGAATGAGGATGTTATAAAGGAATAATTAAAAAATTAAACTTACTTGCACTGATAAAGGAGAACATGAACTTCTTCTTTTTTTTTTTTTTTTTAGGGCTGAGGCCTAAAAATATTCCTTTTATCTTTCTTGTTCTGTTGCTTCTGCTACCTCAGATAATTGCAACATTTTCTTTTCTTTTTGTCTTTTCAGATACCGAGGATGAATGGATGGATGAATGAATAGATAGATTGTGTGTATATAAGTGTATACGTATATATGTATGCACATGCACATGTATATGTATCTACGTGTGAATTATACTTACATTAGCTCATATTTAAACTCTTATTAAGCTCTTTTTAAAACTTTAAGAAAACGGTAGAGTAGGAGGTAGATTTAAAATACTTTTGTAGTTTCAAATGCATGTTACCCCACTTTTGGCTAGTTTAATGTTTACCACTATATCATATCTTATGACTTTTCTTCATATGTGAGTTGACCTCATTTTTTTCCTTCTAGGTACGTTGTATGTTAAATATTTGGGGTGTGATGCTCTTTATTAGATTGTCATGGATTGTGGGTCAAGCTGGAATAGGTAAGTGAAGTTATGTGCTGCTTGACTCATTTGAGAATAATGAATAAGCACAATAGTTGTCTGTATGTCTGGATTCTAAACTTCATAAAACTGAAGCAGTGGAAGTCATTGGAACTGTGCTGTCCTTTGTATCAGATTATCTTTGTTAATTTTTTCATAATTCTGATTTGATTTTTATAAAATAGGATCAAAATGAGGTAGTTTATAAGTTGTGAGATACATTTAGTATACTTGGACTAACAGTTCTAGGTCCGTCAGTTTTAAATAGGAGTATAAGTGTTCTCTAGGGTCGCTATGAGTCGGAATTGACTCAATGGCAACAGGTTTGGTTTTGTTTTTAGTATAACTGTTCTTAATTTTTTTTCTTTTTCCCTAAAGGTTTATCGGTCCTTGTAATAATGATGGCCACTGTTGTGACAACTATCACAGGATTGTCTACTTCAGCAATAGCTACCAATGGATTTGTAAGAGGAGGTAAATTTAGTCTTTTCACATCATCATATCAGAAAACTATTATTTATTGCCTTGAGATTTAAATCTTTTAATTATTTTTTTTACCTTGATGGAAGCAACATACCATGCCCATGTAGGCAAGGAAATCACTGCTGAGCACTTTCAAACTACTGCATTGATTGTAAAATTTTTATTGATCCGTACACACATATATATGCTTTAAATTATTTAGGACGTTTAGATGTCTGGTAGCAGAATGGAGCTTTTAGTCACATCTTTCCTACCAGGCCATACCTTATTGTCCTCTCTTAGGCTTCTACCCTTGAACAAGTAACTCACATTCTGCGTTTGGTCAGCATTTTACAGGTGTAACTTCTTTCCCCTGTGGTTAACCCCATTTTACAGTGAGGGAAATCAAGGTTGGGAGAGGTAGTGTACTTTATCCATGATTTTGTGTGAGTTACATTTGGGACTCTAAAATCAATATGCTTCCTTAACTGTAGCTCTCTTTCTTGGACACTGTCATGGATTGGGTTATGTCCCCCCAAAAATGTGTGTATCAATTTGACTGGGCCATGATTTCCAGTATTGTGTGGTTGTTCTCCATTTTGTGATTGTAATTTTATGTTAAAGAGGATTAGGGTGGGATTTTAACACCCTTACTAAGGTCACATCCCTGATTTCAGTGTAAAGGGAGTTTCCCTAGGGTGTGGCCTACATCACTTTTTATCTTACAAGAGATAAAAGGAAAGGGAAGCAAGCAGGGAGCAGGGGACCTCATACCACCTAGAAAGCAGTGCCGGGAGCAGAGCATGTTCTTTGGACCCGGGATCCCTACACGGAGAAGCTCCTAGTCTGGGAGAACATCAATGAGAAGGCCGACAGAGAGAGAAAACCTTCCCCTGGAGCTGACTCCCTGAATTTGGACTTCTAGCCTACTTTACTGTGAGGAAATAAACTCCTCTTTGTTAAAGCCATCCGCTTCTGGTATTTCTGTTACAGCAGCACTAAATGACTAAGACAGACACCCTGAGGCCCCTTCTTGTACTCCAGAAAATCTACCTTGTGAGACTTTATCCTCCCCAGAGAGAGCACCCAGGAGACCAGGAGAATGGACTCCGGACCCCTGAAAGCAAAAAGAGTCCCATATTCTAAACCAAAATTCATCACTGGGCTAGGGTGAGAAGAGGATCCCTGAAGAAAGAAGAGAAAATGTCTGCCAGCCCTTGTAAAGTCCCCATAGCAGACCAACTGAGAAAAGAATTGACCTATTCCATTTGCCTTAACTATTTTGAAGATCCCTATTTGACATTATGCAAACACAGTGTCTGCTTTTTCTGCATCAGATACTTAGAATGAGGAACCAGGCTGAGCTTTTTCACTTTCTGCCATTGTCTTCATCTCTCTCAGATATCAGAGGAATCCAGTTCATATCTGTGTGATAATGACTATGATGAACATGCATCGCTGTTTGCTGTATTTTTATGTGTATATGAATGTGGATTCAGCTATCTTGGGGTGTAACGTGGGTATGTCCAGTAGAGTTAATCAGATACCACTGAGAGACTCATTTTTGCTTCTCATGTACTGGGTGCCTCATCCTTTGTTTCTCTCCCACTATTGGGGAATGGAAGTGAGATGAAAATTGTTAGCCACCTGCAAGGGATCTGCAAGTCATCAAGGAGTTTTTCTTTATCCTTGGACTTTAGAATTTCAGTTGTGAGCCTCAAGGGAAATGGGGCATGAAGCCAATGACAACACAAACTCTGGATTCTTTTCCACGTGAATCCAAACTTGGGGAAAGTATAGATTTTCCAGAATTAGGACCTGAAAGCCATTTTATGTTTCAGTACTATTGCTAGTTTTCAAATACTGGTTTTCTCAGATAATGAAACCAGTAAAAGAAAAAAGACAAAGTAAATCGTTAAAGAAATAACCAAATACTAACTGTGAAGCTTTCCTAGAAGAGATGCATTTTTCACATCTCAGTTAGTGACGTTGGAGACCTGACTAAACCTTTACAGAATATAAACAAGCTGCATCATTTGTAATGAGTGTCTCCTGTGTCTTCTGGAGAGTCTTTCCATGAATGTAAGCTGGTTTTGTCTCCTCTGTATCTACCTCATGAACTTGGACACCCTTACAGGATTTATTTTGGTATCATGAAAAAACCAGTATTTTCCACATGGGAGAAAGTGTCACATTGTTAGCTGCTGTCCAGTTGGTCCCCAGTTCATGGTGACAATGTGCATGGAACCAAATGCTGCCTGGTCCAGCACCATCCCCATATGTCTTAGTCATCTAGTCCTGCTATAACAGAAATACTACAAGTGGATGGCTTTAACAAACAGAAGTTTATCCTCTCACAGTTTAGGAGGCTAGAAGTCCGAATTCAGGGTGCCAGCTCTAGGGGAAGGCTCTCTCTCTGTCAGTACTGGGGAAAGGTCCTTGTCTTCAATCTTCCCCTGGTCTAGGAGCTTCTCAGCACAGGGACTGCAGGTCCAAAGAACACACTCCCCTCCTGGTTCTTCATTCTTGGTGGCATGAGGTCCCCCTGTCTCTCTGCTCACTTCTCTGTTTTATATCTCAAAAGAGATAGACTCAAGATGCAGCCTAACCTTGTAGATTGAATCCTGCCTCATTAACATAACTGTGTCTAATCCTGCCTCATTAACATCACAGAGGTATAATTTACAACACATAGGAAAGGAAAATCACATCAGATGGCAAACCCTCTGCCATCAAGTTGATTCCAATTCATAGCGACCGTATAGGACAGAGTAGAACTGCCCCATAGGGTTTCCAAGGAGTGCCTGGTGGATTCGAACTGCCTACCTTTTGGTTAGCAGACGTAATGCTTAACCACTGTGCCACCAGGGTTTCCTCAGATAACAGAATGGTTGACAATCACACAATATTAGGAATCATGGCCTAGCCAAATTGACACACATTTTGGGGGGACACAGTTAAATCCATAACACCATGATTGGTTGCAGATTGGATCGTTGTTATCCATAGGGTTTTCAATGACTAATTTTTGAAAATAGATCACCAGGCCTTTTTTCCTAGTCCATCTAAGTTTGGAAGCTCCACTGAAACCTGTTCAGCAGTACGGCAACATGCAGGCCTCCACTGACAGATGGGTAGTGGCTGCACATGAGGAGCATTGACTGGGAATCTGACACACATTGCCATGAGTCAGAATCAACTTAATGGCAACTGTCCTTTTTTTTTTTTTTGGTATTACATGAACTGAGCAATAGAAGGGAAAGGCTCTCAACCACTTTTTGTTTCAGACTTAGTTGAAAGTAGAGGTCAATACTCTTTCAAATAAAGACCCAGGTCGTATGAAACTGCAGACAGGTAGTTACGAAAATCTAGAGGCAACGTAAGCCTGCCTGTTCCATGTATAAGATGAAGTTTTATATATTATTTGTATTTCAGTCAATCAACAGATAATTGTTGAACACTTACTTTGCGATAGCACTGGATATGTGCATGTCAGATAAGTCTCATGGAGCTTATGTTCAGATAATAATAATAGCTGTTTTTTTTTGAGACCTAACTTCTGTGCATGATTCTGTGGTCTTAACATGCATTATCTTGTTTAATGCATCATTGCTGTGAATTGCATTTATAATTTGTATGGATTATGAGAGCAGACGTGAAACAAGGTATACCCTTTTTTTTTTTTTTAGCAAAAGTAAGTCTTATGCAGATTCTGTGGGTGAATCTTTTTTAGATGTCTACATCGTAATAAGCCAGAACTACCTTTTTGTACTCATATATATCTCTTTTTTCTTTTCTATGAAGTAATTGAGGACCTCCTCACTTCCTCACTTTTGTAGACAGATAAAACCAAACACTGAAAGTGAGAAAAACCCAACATTTTCCAATAGGTTGTAAGTGACAGAAAGTGCTTTCTATATTGGTAAAATCAAATTATCATTGATTATCAATTTTTTTTGTTTAGTCCATTGCCAAGCAAGGGTTCTAAGGCAGAATTCAGTTCCATAGTTCTTTCTTTTTAGATAGGTGATTTCTTTGAAATTGTAACTTTCTTTCAGATCAACGAAATGTTTGAAGCTGTAAAAGGCAGTTATATAACAGTTGTATCATGAAGTGTTATTAGATGTAAACATAGCATTGTTCTCGATTCAGTAAAAAACACTACTTGTCAACATATCAAAAATAACTCAGATATGAATTTGGCAGGTAATTGTTTACATATGTATATATTTTTGGGAGTGGTTTCACTTGTATGTTAATTTTTTATTTGGATTTTCTCTTTGACTTAGGAGTGACTTTTCAATTTGCCAGTCATTTATTTGCTTCCCCAAATGGTCTGATGCAGTGTTAGGTATTTGTCTTTGCTGTCATATCTTAAGTTTAATTTATTCAGATGATTAGTTGCAATGGTACAGTAGCACCCAATCCTGGTCTGACGATTCTGTGTTTTTCACCTTGCTTTTCCCTACTTGACTTAATAATGGCAACAGAATAGAAGATATTTGCCAAAAGTTAACAGGCAGACAAACTTCTTGTGTATTTGTAAAGCAGGCTATTAGACTTTATTTCCTAGAAGTATAACTGAAATGGATGTTGGATCCATTGTAACTCCATGGCATTCCCAAAGTTGTTCCTTAGAATTGTACACAGGGTGGCTTTGGATAAACTGTCTAGTGAGAGTAAAAAAGTAGGTTGTTTGCTACTCTGACAAAGGATTTTGGTGTATTTACCAAATAAACTCTGAAGAGTTAAGTTTCTAAATAGTTTTCTTTTTTATTGGTAAATTTATTACATTTTTGTTATCTTCACCCTTTGTCTCCTTCCTCAGTACATCCAACAAAACAAAACATTTGTTTTACAAAATTTCCACAGATATCACAGATTACGTAGATGATTTTTTTAATTGTTATAGTTTAAATGAAGTTTACGTTTCAAGTTAGTCTCCCATACAAAATTTTATACATACATTGTTATGTGACCCTAATTGCTCGCCCCATTCTGCAACAGCACAC